ACCTTTCTCTGTTTCTCTACTAGTTCATGCTTGCAAACCCTATATAAACTGTAGATGGACAAAAGACAGACACCTGGTTCTTGGAGTAGTTATCCCAACCAGGCCTGTTTATTTAATAGTTTGCTTTTTGCCTCCAAATCTTGGGTGCCTTCTGGTGTTTGCCCTTTGCCATTACATTAGCAGAGGGGAGACTGAAAAAGCAGGGTGCAGTGTCCTTCCCACTCAGCACCATGAACCCCATGTTTTTCAGAAATAAGATTCCAGGGCCAGGGATTTAGCTCAGCAGTTTGGTGGCCTGCCTTGCAAACTCAAGGACCCAAGTTCAATTTCCAGTACCAAAATAAAACAAAAAAATGGAAATAAGATTCCACAACCTACCCAAAATAGCATGCACTGGTGATCAAGAGATGAACTTTATTTATTTATTTATTTATTTTGGGGGGCATTTTGAGACAGGGTCTCACTATGTAGTTGAAACTGACCTGGAACTCACTATGTAGCCCAGGCTGGTCTCAAACTCACAGCGATCCTCCTGCCTCAGCCTCCAGAGTGCTGGGATTACAGGCATGCACCACCATGCCTGGGTAAGAGATGAATTAAAAAAAAAAGAGAGAGAGAGAGATGAACTTTACTTTGTTGTAATACAGAAACTTTTAAAGCCTTAAGGCTTTAAACTAATGACTGGGCCCATCAGTCATTAGTCTTGTTTTTCTGCCACTTCTTTGAGTAAAATTTTTGTTTTTTTTCTACAGTTCAGAATTTCTGTGAGACCTGACTGAGCTAAAGTGACTCTTTGTTGGCCGGCTAATGACCCCAGAGACTGTTGTGCACCTCTTCCCTTATCAAACAGGTACTGAGGTGCCCCGGCCAGCGGGGTTCGTTATTAGTAGGGCTCGAGGAGGGGACCACCCGGAACGGGAACGGGAACGACGCAGGAAGACAGGAACCAGACAGAGCTCTTTTAGATGGTCAAAATTTGACAATTTTTATTTCTCACACAGCAGCTTTTATGCAGGCAGGGATGAGCAGGGAGTTTCCTGGTTGCTAGGTTACCTAACCTAGGCTGGTCTAGCTAGATAAGGTAGGGCATGGCCAGAATGTTCCCGGGAGGGGTCAGAATGTCCCCAGGAGGGTGTAAAGTTCCTATCAGGGGCACACATACACACAGGGTGGAGGGGCACACACGGAGGGTGGAGACGCACAGGGGTCTTTGGTCTCCAGCACTGAGGACACAACATTCAATTTTAGCCTTAGTTTATCCGGATGGAAAGCTTGGGTCAGCACCCTCAAGGACCAATTATTGTTATATTGCTCGTTCTCATGTTTGGACTCTGCATGGGAAAATGGGTAGCAAAACTCATACCTCAGAGAATAGCTGCTGCCCAACATTATCAGATGCTAATTATGTGGAATAATGAAAATTGGTATGAACATAACAAGGGGCAAGGTGTTACCCAAAAAGCAAAGGGAAGAATAATACAGAAAACTTTTATAAATAACCAGAGTCCTACAAAATGTTAGGAAAATGTAGGGTGACTTCTGCTCTTCTAAAATCTGCTTTGTTTAGTTCAAAATTAAAAGACTGGAGGCATTAACTGTAGAATGGGACAGCTAGCCTCATCCTGAGATGACAGGGCACATCAAAACCCCGAGATCCAAAGTTTTGTGAGCCACATGATTGTAAAAGTGTGGAGATGAAAAGAACAATTGTTTAACTTTGCTTTTCTGACCCTGAACACCCTCTTCCCCTGGGCTAGAAGAGACAGCGAGACAAATCTTAAAGGTAAACTCCCTAACTACAGAAAACTGCTACATCTGGGTTAAAGTTAACTGTCTTGTGACCATGATTTGTGTATCTGTAAATGAATTGTAACCTGAATGAGGTCATGGCTGTAAACCCTATAAAACCTATGCACAATCCTGTAATGGGGCTTCATTTCTCTTAGAGAGTGGAGTCTGCACATGTGAAATAATCTTCTTTCAGTCCTATCTGTGTCCCGGTATTTGGTGTACTCGCTGGCTTGGTACAACAATTTCTACATTTGTAATACCCAAACCTCCACCTAGCAAAGGACTGGCACTTGCACAAGGATAAGAGATGGAGGGATTCTTGGACCTTAGCTCATCACCTGTCACCCACTACAAGTGAAGACGTCTTTTTCCACAATCCCGCACCAGGATGTAGGAAGACACCCTCCTACTCCTATACTCCCACCAAGGCCCAGGTGCCCTGTGCCAGGAGGGGGATACCATGATATTTCCAAGGGAAAACAGTAGCTTCTCACCCATATACCCTATCCAATAAGGAAATCTCCTAAAACTCTAGGAGGAAGTTTTAAAAAGTATATCATATTCAGATGGGCTTGGTAGCACGTCTCTAATCCAAGCACTCTGTACATTTGAGGCAGGAGAATCACAAGTTTGAGACAATCCTGAGCAATTTAGTGAGAACTTGTTTTGAAATAAAAATCAAGATAGCCCGGGTAGTCTCTCATGTGCCATTTGTCACAATTTTCTCTCCAGAAATACAGATAAGGTTGACAGATGTGTTCCTGAAAACAAGGACCTATAGGGCCAGGGATTTAGCTCAGTGGTGCCACCACCTGCCTCACAAGCAAGCACAAGGACCCGAGTTCAATCCCCAGTACGGAAAAAAAAAAAAAAAGAAAAGAAAACAAGTTCCTATAAAATCCTTATAAAATCCTCCTGTTTCCCAATGGTCTCTCCCGTCTCATATTTTGCAACAGTGACTTTGTCTAAAGAAAAGAAAGGAGGGAGGGAGGAAGAAAAAGAGAAAAATAAAGCCGGGTATGGTGGTGCACACCTGTAATCCCAGCACTTGGGAGGCTGAGGCAGGAGGTTCTCTGTGAGTTTGAGACCAGCCTGGGCTACATAGTGAGTTCCAGGTCAGACTCAACTATATAGTGAGACCCTGTCTCAAAAAAACAAAAAGACAAAAAAAGGAGAAAGAGAAAAATAGCCAGGCAAGGTGGTGCTCTGTTCCCATCACTCACTACATAGTTCAAGCTGGCCTTGAACTCACGATGTTGCCCAGGCTGGCCTCAAATTCACAGGGATTCTCCTGCTTTAGCCACTCAGTGCTAGGATTACAGGCGTGTGCCACCACACCAATCTCCCCTCCGGGAAGGATAGGAATAAAACTATCCTAGAAAGGAGACAATGAAAAAAGAAAAACCTACAGCTTCTGAACACAAAGCCCCATTTATTTACTTCTTATCTTCTTCCAAAACAGCAAACCTGGGCAACTCCCTTTCAGCTGCAAACAGGTCTGCCCATTCCCTTTTTACTTACTCTTTACTTTTACTCTTTTGGGCTGGGGATTTAGCTCACCACTGACCTCACAAGCGCAAGGTCCCCGAGTTTGACCCCTGGTACCAGAACAACAAAAACGGTCATCTTTCACCCCTATATGGACACCCTTTTGTGATTTCCCATGGGAATATACCATTATCTCACTACAGGTGGGGCATCCTCTCCTACCCACTAGAGAAGACTAATACAGTAGGTTACTAAATTCAACTGGGGGTGGGATTAGCTCAGTGGCACCATACCTGCCTTGCAAATACAAGGTCATGAGTTTGATTCCTGTACCAAAAAAAAAAAAAAAAAAAAAAAAAAAAAGTCCAACTGACTCAGTGCCCCAGACACATAAAAGATCCCCCATTCCCAACTGTATGGTACCTCATTATAAGGATCAAATTTCCAGGTCAAGGTGGGCTCCCTCTGTGCCCTTTGCCCACCTCTGCGCCCCTTGCCCAGAACAGAGCTGCAAAAATTCCATTCTGTATGACAGTTTCCCTGTGTTCTGTTCCTCTTTTTAGGGCAGGCTGTCTTAGGGCATCTCCACCTTGTTTCTGTTCCTCTTTTTATGATCCAAAGATGAATTCTCCCTGCTTAAAATAATTTGATTTAGCCAACATAGGTATTAGTCATAGCTGACATAGGTAGCCACCTGCTGATATCACTGCTTACACATGTAGTCTTTGTTAATTATAGAATTTGTTTAATCAAATGTTCTTCAAAAGGAGGAATTGATTCTGTGAACGTAGGTGGTAGTAATTTTCCAGTAAGTGCCCTCCCAGTACCCCTTAAATATGCAACAGTAAGCAAAAGATAAAAATAGGACCTATAAAAAGGAAGAGTCTCCTAACCCTATATAATCCTACTTCAAAGATGGATCTGGACTCTCAGTCTGAAGCTGCTGTGACAGTGACACCCAAGGGTCCAGGCTCGAGCTTGCAATATACTCCTCTTGTAATTACATCGGACCTGACTCCTTGGTGGTCTTTGGGGACTTCGCGACTTGGGCATATCATCATTTCTCTGAGTACTGCACTCCATGTCCTGTATCTCTACCTGTAGTAAACCTCCTTATGTCTCTTTTATCAGCAAATCTGATATGGGGGAAAAGATGCAACTCCCAAACCTGCTAGATATCCAAAATTCAAGTCCATATTCTCTAAAATCAAAGAATGAATTCTAGGAAAAACAGAGGTTAAGAGTAGGAAAAATTTATTGAGAGAAAGAAAGCTTTTGTCTAAAAGAGAGAGAAGGGGGACCAGAAAGTGGGTTGCCCGCTCACCCAACTTCTCAAAGGTGTTTTATGGGACAAAACTACAAAGTGAGGTGGGTTCAAGGTGGGGCAAAACTATAGTCAGTAAGATTACAAGTATAGTCACTTAGGTAATATTTGATCCAATAAGAAATCACAAGGTGGACAAAACTATGAGCAACCAATAGGATTATGACACATATAGTTGCTTAGGTAATATTGATTAAATGGGGATCCAATAGGGAAACTGTTGAACCAAAGCAACCAAAGTGACTCCATTTTGTCTAATTTCCTCCCTTTTGTTAACTAAAGCTTCTTGTCTATGAGAAACTGCCTGCTGGTTGACCTCATAGAAACCATCCCTGATTACAGTTGACATCTATACTAAAGGAAGAAAAGTATGTTCTGAGAAACGAAATGTACCCTAATGGGGTTCCCACCCACTAACTGCTGTTCTGCTTCTGTGACAGGAGCTTTGCTTTCCCACCAAGTTCCTGTTTTCCTCCAAGAAGTTCCTGCTCACAACACTATAAAAACCCCTGAGTTTGAAAGCCTGGTACCCCTCTATCCAAGCAGAGTCAGGTCCCAGCCAGCAGAATAAAATTTTGTCCTTCTAGACTTGCATTTTCTCATCTGGTCAATGTAACAGTTGGAGGCCCCAGAGAGTTCTCCTGGAGGACACTGTCGCGGCACAGATCAGAGCAGCCCTGACTCCGGAGGCCACCCTGAAGAGGTTCCGGGACCCTTGTCTTGCTGTGTGCTCTTGGTGGCCAATGCAGCTATCTGTCTGGGACTAGGGGCTAAATTTTATTCGTGGAAAAAGTCTTGCAAGGTAAGACTTGAAACAGAGTCTTAGAGCATGCTAGAGGTTGAGGTCAGTGGGGCTGGACCTGGCCAGTAACCATTGGACCCCAGGGGGGCAGGCGACGACCTGCGCTGCCCTCGGTTTTAGGAATTCCTAGATTGGGTATTTTTGTCATTGTTGGTGTCGTCCATCTCTGTGTAATACTCTGTTTCTCGTTCCCCCGTTAACATCTTCACGTTTACACGTAGTGGGTAGATCAACTTCTCAATTGGCAACACCTCTAAATTGCATTCTGGATCAGTTTCGACAGATTTACACCAGAGAAAAGGAAGGGAACTGTGGAGTTAAGTTTTCAACAGCTAGATTCTGCTTTGTGAGATCGAATGGCCAGGATTTGACCTAGACCCGCATTGGCCATCTGCGGGATCTCGGGTCCAAGATGTCCGACTAAAGGTTACGGGGCACCCAGGACACCCAGATCAGTTCCCGTACATTGATGTACAGCTAGATTTGGTTTAGAGCCCCCCTAAATGGTCTTTATGAGTGCCCTACAAGGAGAGATGATTCTAGTGGCTAAAGAAAGGGTACAGAAGAAGGCCCAGAGCCCTCAGGTTAAACCAAAACCTAGGGTTTTAGCCTCAGCCCCTGAGGAGGAGGATTTCTGGCCGCCTCCACCGCCTCCCCCTTACCGGGGTGCTGAAGGACCTCAACTGCAGGAAATCCCCACAGGTGCAAGGACACGGAGCGGACCACCTCCTGGGAAGCAACGGATTCCGTGCCGGACTCCACACAGGAGGCTCCTCCTCCTCAGACGTGATTCCAGGCCCCCCTGGCACCCCTGGCACTCCAGAAGAAGGAGCTTCACTCCGAGGCTCAGCCCCAGGGAAAACCTCCTCCCAGCCCGCTGCAGTCTTCCCCTTAAGGTACCTAGGACAAGGGTATGGGATTATGTATGTCCCGTCCACCACCACTGATGTGTTTAATTGGCAATCTCAACTTGCACCTTTCTCTAAGGATCCGCAGGCTATTTATAATTTAATTAGAAATATTATTAATACTCAAACCCTAATTTGGATGATATGCAACAATTGTTAGATGTCCTCTTTACCATGGAAGAAAGAGAAAGGATCAGGTGGGAGGCTGAATTGGCAGCCGTCAGAATGGATGATTCCAACCAGGCACAAGGTCTGCAGGAAGTTGTCCCGGATACCCGTCCCAAGTGGGACCCGGAAACAGAGGCGGGATGGAAAGCCATTAAGGATTACTGTAGTTATGTCCAGGAAGGAGTAAAAAGGGTGTCTAGAAAACCTACAAATTTGAGTAAATGAGATTAGACAACTTGATCAAGAGAGTCCATAGGCATATCTCGAGCGCCTCCTGGAGGCTTGTCGGATTTATATCCCCGTAGACCTGACGCCCGAAAATGCCATGGCCATAAATACGGTCTTTGTAGCCCAGTCGGCCCAATATATTAGATAGAAGTTATAGAAGATAGAAGGATTTGAGGGTAAAAATAGGTCTGAGCTCATGGCCATAGGCCAAAAGGCTTATAACAACCGAGAATCAACAGATGTAACTCAAGCAAAGAAGATAGTCAAACTGGCCGGTGACAGTGGCGGCTGTAACAGAAAAGGAGTTTTAACCAGGAAAACCGTGAGAACGACAACAAAGTCAACGTAAGGGAATAGGCCCTCCTCTGGGAGAAGATCAATGTGCAAAATGCTGCCTCAGCCTCCGGAGTGCTGGGATTACAGGCGTGCACCAGCACACCCGGTGACTTGTATTGACCAGATGAGAAAATGCAAGTCTAGAAGGACAAAATTTTATTCATGCTGGCTGGGACCTGACTCTGCTCGGATAGAAGGGTGCCAGGCTTTCAAACTCAGGGGTTTTTATAGGGCTGTGAGCAGGAACTTCTTGGAGGAAAACAGGAACTTGGTGGGAAAGCAAAGCTCCTGTCACAGAAGCAGAACAGCAGTTAGTGGGTGGGAACCCCGTTAGGGTACATTTCGTTTCTCAGAACATACTTTTCTTCCTTTAGTATAGATGTCAACTGTAATCAGGGATGGTTTCTATGAGGTCAACCAGTGGGCAGTTTCTCATAGACAAGAAGCTTTAGTTAATGAAAGGGAGGAAGTTAGACAAAATGGAGTCGCTTTGGTTGCTTTAGGTCAACATTTCCCCCTCTTCTAGTAACTAAAGCGAATCTTGGCTTTTTCTGTCATTTACAAGTCTACACATGTTTTTGTCTCTATCTCTTCATGATTTAGAAGCACATATCCTAAGGAAGATATGAGAACCATGAGCTGGACAGTATTTATTTGTCTCTTAAAATAAGTAGCTAAGCTATTTATTACACATGGGGCAACTAACATAGCCAGTAACAGTAGGTGTAAGGGTTCAGCAATAGCTGAGAGTAGGGTAGTAACCCAAGGGGACCAGCTGGGATCTCATCTTTGTAAAAGACTCCTGAGGGCTGGGGATTTAGCTCAGTGGTTCCACTGCCTGCCTTGCAAGCACAAGGTCCCAAGTTTACTCCCTGATACCAAAAATAAATAAATAAAAAAATAATAAAACTGAGTTTGATCCCAGTAGAAGAAGAAGAAGAAGGGGGGGGGAGGAGGAGGAGG